TTGCTACCAGTGCCAACTCCCCGTGGGCAGGGAATACCGTCTCCTCTGTGCAGGACAGAGCTTATCTCTGTTGCCACTTTGACTTTACAGTTTCCATACAAGGATAGGGGCTTTCTACTCTATGTCAACTTCAAGAACTTCTGGTCACTGTTTCTATCAGAAGTCAAGTTTTCTTCTATAGCTTAGCTATTACCAGGTGTGAAATAGGCATCTCTTTTAAAACTTGCAGAGCGTTCAGAAATAGATTCAACCACAAATAAATTACGAGCAACATTATTAGCACATTCTGGATATTTCAGTTGGGCTGTACAAACTAATGGGCAGGAGCACAGAATCTGAGAGCCGATAGCCCACACTCGAATTCCAGCTCCACAAGATCTGGAATGAGTTATTTAACCTCTCTGTGCCTCAGTTTCCTCATCTGTAAAATGGAGATATTCCTAGTACCTACCTCATGGTGTCATTAAGAGACTTTAAGGAGTTAGTACACGTAACACTTCAAACAGTCCCTTGCATTTATAGTAGAACCTTGGTTTGTGAGCACAATTTGTTCCGGAAACATGCTTGTAATCCAAAGCACTTGACTATCAAAGCAAAGTTCAAGAACCATTGGCTCAGTTGTGATCACATGACATTCCGTGTCAGGCACTAGTCATATTGCAAAGCACCGCTTGTTTATCAGTTAAAATGTATTAGAAATGTTCGCTCGTCTTGTGGAACATTTGCAGGACAAGTCACTCACAATCCAAGGATTTACTGTAATAAGTGCCATAGAACTGTTAGTTTTTATTATCTAGGACCTCAGAACTTTCGGCAAGCATTCAATCCTCTCCCTCCTCCCTTCTCCCTCCTGAACAATATGGCAGCGCAGCAGACACTTGCACCCATAGAACATTATGCTCTGTAGGGATCTGCTAAAACAGAGAACTTTCCTCTTCACCCAAAACACAGGAAGAAAACCGTACAAATTCTGCATTTCCTCAGCCTTCCCCTCAAAGTGCTCTCCTCCACCTTTGTGCTGTTCTTTGTGGACCAGTAAGCTTCTAGCTGATTGTCTTGACAAAGATTGAGTTAGCACTTGTTTCTCTTAGTCCCTGGCTCTAGCACAGCCATTCGCAAACTTTTGAGGTGTTTACTTAATTGGTCACCCAGCATTATGCACAAACTTTTCCTCATTTTACCAAGGGCAATGAGACAGACAAGTATCATACATACTCCTCCTTTTAAAGCAGAAAATAAAGAGAATTTCTTTAGCAAAAATAAAGTGAATTCTTTTAAAGGTTTAAAAAGGTTTCAAAAAGTATTTCAGGACAGTGTTCCACAAAAACTAAAAGGGAAAAAAATTGCTTCAGTGACTTGGAGAGGAATATACACTTTATTTTAAAATATGAAAAAAAATTAGAGGCACCTGGGTGGCACCAACCAAGAGTTGGCTGAGCATCCGACTCTTGAATTCAGCTCAGGTAAGGATCTCATGGTTCATAGGATTGAGCCCCACATCAGGCTCTGCGCTAATAGCATGGAGCCTGCTTGGGATTCTCTCTCCGTCTCTCTCACTCTGCCTCTCCCTCTCTCGTGCAAGCTCGCTCTCTCTCTCTCTCTCTCTCTCTCATAATAAATAAATAAACTTTAAAAAATAACAAAGAAAAACATAAAACATCTAAAAAAACTCAAAAACAATTAAGAGGGTGATGAGTAGCTAGCATTATCAGGTCAGCAATATAAACTGACATTCTCTTAATGTGAAAAACAGGGTCTGTGTAAATGTGCCATGTGAAGAAAGACTTGTGGAATCCCCTTTTGTGTAGTTTTATGAGAACTGGGCAGAGTCCACTGGAAGGATACTCTAGGAGTAGCACATTCTTTGAGGTAAACCAGTTACCTGATTTTTTCCGTCTGTTCTCTGAGCTTCCCCTAGGCTTGGGGGCTTGGGTATCTGAAACTTAGTTCAACAAATCACTAATGGATTCCTCTGCAGACAAAATTCCAGCATTTTTCAGAAGCCCAATAAAATCAAAATAACGTATGCTACGTGGTCAACTGTGAAAACTTTCAAAAATATATTGATAAGACAGCGGCACACTGTGAAGATACAACCTTTCCCAAGTGGCACAGGGGTTTAGGCACATGGCTTTCAGAGTCAAACTGCAGGCTTTCGGATCCCAAGGGTTCCCCTTTTAAGTTTTGAGACCTTGGGCAAGGTTCGGTGGAGATAACAGTCTTTACCTGCAGCAGACACCTGTCTGTGTTTCTGTCCCAACTCCTTCAATAAGCACCTGATGCTCTTCTTTCCTAGATTCCACTCCCCACCCCCAAACCTCCCACAGACACATTCCTTGCCCCCCATGTCGGTTGTTACCCAATGACTGTGCAGCAGGCTGAAAGCCAAGCTTCCCTTCCTGGCCTATAGGGTTTCCCTACAGGACCACCTGAAGCTATCCAGGAAGGGATTTGGCCCCTGACGTCTCTTTGCTTGTCTCAACTCCCTTTTCCTGCCCTCCTTCCATTGCCCCTTACCAGTCTCTCCTTGAGCCACCTCAGGGATGATTCGCTTGCATTGGAACCTCATCTCAGCATCTGCTCCTGGAGAACCAGGACTTCACATGTAGCTGCCCCCCACCCCCAGTTTTGAACGAATGGACGAAGATGTTAGGTCAAAACCCCCTAAAACAACCTGGCATGTTAAGTGCCGTCTTAAGGTCATTGCCTGAGCTTGGACCCGCAGCACCAAGGATGACCCAGGGGGCTCTACCGGGACTTCAGACACACCGGATGCCACAAACATACAAACTCTTGAGAAATGGTGAGAGAGCTGAATAATCCACATAATTGCTTCCGTTCGCATCACTGGTTGCACCCTTGGCCTTAATTACAAGGGAATAAATGCTTCTGGCTGAGTTGTAACATAAAGAGGCTGCTACTGTGTGCTCCCATGAGACCCGCCACAGGCATTCAATTTAGTTAATAAGTATGGAGACTGGAAGACTCGAACGTTCTCTCTCCCACATGTGATATTTTTTTTATAAGTGAAAACTCTTTGGTTCATCCTTTCCTCGGGTTTCATGGAGTAGTTTCAAGGTTGCTTGTTTGAAGGTAAGCAGCAGGAGTCTTAAGAACTTAATTTTAAGAAATTCAAAGAGCAAAGAATGTACTTTGTTCTTTGAGTTCCTTAAACCTATATTTCATATCCTTTCATAATAATTTGTCTTTTATGGATAAAACATACACAAATCACTTAGGAAAAAAGGCATCTGTAATGACCTTGGGCGACCAAGTTCTTCTGTTTTTAAATGGCATGCACAGAGTATATTATTAAGACTTCTATATGGTAGCATTTGTAGCACAGCTCCGAAAGAGAATTTACCATTTCTTTATTATTCAGTTCAAATATAAGGGCAAAGAAACTTACTCATAGGATTTCTTTTTTTAAGGTTTTCATTTATCAGCTCCTGGAAAAAAAAAATGGATACAGGCAAAATCCCAACATGATAAAACCTGAGCTAAAGTAATAGTGGCTGGGGGGAACCTCTATGTGAATTATTATGATCTTAGGTCCTAAAAAAAAAATTATTCTTGTCTGGTTCTCTCATCTGACCTCACTACAGACTGGCTTTTGTCCACTTCACAGCACTTGAGTCATTAATGATCTCCTCCAGGACAAATTGAATGTTCTCTCTTCTACCCGTATTCACTTTTAATCTATTTGTTGCCTTTGTTCGACTCAACCACTACCTTCCTCCTCCTCCATAAGCCTCTCTTCTAATTTTGTCTGATCCTTTAGTATTTTTTTCCTTTTCAGTTTTGTCATGTATTTTAAAAATAAAAATGAAAACGACAATTAGAAACGAGGGGAAAAAGTACTCCAACCCAAACACTATTATTTTGTTGGATTCCCACCCCACCCCTGTTTTTTTTTTTTTTTTCTAATTGGTTTGTACATATTGTGAGTAGGATTTTGTATCCTCCTTTTTTTTTTTTTTTACCAAATATATTCAATTCTTTCCCATGTTGCTATAGAATCTTCGAAAACTCCAACCTTAATTCCCGTTAATAATTTCATCTCTGTCTCACTCCTTCTCTGTCTGTTCTTTCTCCATGCAAATTCACCCTTTTCCTCCAATAAACCCATGGCTGAGCCCAAATTACTTTATATCCCACATTCTCCTTTCATGTTCAAGTCTTCCTTTTGTCCTAATGATATGAATACTAATTTAAAAATAAAATAAAGTATGGGCACCCCAGCGCTCTGTTGGTTAAGTGTCTGACTTTGGCTCAAGTCATGATCTCATGGTTCATGAATGTGAGCCCCGCACCATGCTCTGAGCTGACAGTGCAAAGCCTGCTTGGGGTTCTCTCTGTCTCCCTCTCTCTCTCTCTCTCTCTGCCCCTCGCCCTTCCTCTCTCTGTCAAAATAAACAAACTTAAAAAAAGTTTAAAAAAATAAAGTAAAACGGTCTCATCAAAATATTCATATTCAAATACTACCCATTCTGGAAGTGAATCTGGCACTATAGATCAAAGATAGAGTCTTCTGAAATGCCTAAAACATATGTTTCCTCTAAATAATTCCCAAGATTTTTCAGAGTTCCTACAAAAGTAACAACTAGGTACTTACTTAGTAGTTTTCAACAAGATCGATACCCAATGATCACTTTCCAAATTCTGCTCCAGAAATGACTAGTGCAATACTAGCAGATGTTCAGTTTTTTAAGGGGGGGGGGTGGTGGTGGAGGGGTGCTATAACAAAAATAAATGATTAGAAAATTTTTAATTTTAAAAATTTAAAAGATTTTTTTTACTGTGAGAATTTTCAGAGCCTTTAATATTACTCCCAGCATGTAGCACAGTTGGTAGGTGTTCAATAAATATTTGTTTAGTACAGAAATTTGCATCACGAATCTCCAGGAAATAATACAACATGTAACATTTCCCCAAAGAAAAGCAATTTATATTTATTAGAGATATTTAAACAGCTATTTAAAAGATTGTTTATTGCCACATTGTTTAAACTAGTTAATAACTCCAGACAATCCTAATGTCCATCAACTAGGTGTTGGTGAAAGAAATTATGGTACAATGAAAGACCCCGGAGCTATTACAGATTATGTGATAGGTCAGTTTGGTGTTGAATATCTAAAGAAGAATGACTTGATCTTCTCTTGAGGGTCTTGTGGAAAAGATTGCATCTGGATCTAGGACTGGATTGGCTCCTTTCCTGGTTAGCTTCAACTGTGAACGGGATATATTATAACTTCAGCTCAGTTTCCTCAGCTCTAGAATGAATCTTTTAAGCCAAATGATCTGCAGGATCCCATTAGTCAAAGTTTAATGACTTCATTTAAGAGGTCTTATTTTAGCTGTAATGAGTGTTTTGGAAATTAAATGAAGTGCAAGGGGTGTTATGCAATGAATTAGATTAGTTTTCTATCTTCTCCATGGACTGCAAACATTATAATAAATAAATACACAAATAAATAAACACACATTTTTATATCAGTTCCATGCAATATATCAAAAGTCTCATAAATCTGTGTACACTTAACCCAGCGAGTCTACTTTTAGGATCTAGCCTAATGAATTATTCAAGGATATAAAAAAGACTTAACTTAGCAAAGCAAAGATGTTCATTTCAACAAAAGGAAAAAAACATGGACACGAACCATACCTAACAAGGAACTTGTTAATTAGATGATAGTACATTATAAAATATCACAGTATAAAGTCATTAAAATGATGTAGAAAAATATTTAATATTACGGAAACAGTCTTAAAACATTTTTAAGATGAAAAGAGCAGGTTATAAAAGAGCATGTACAATATAATCCCATTTTTATTGTAAAATATTTCTATGCTCATAAAGAAAGGTGTAGAATGACTACAAAATAGCCTTGACACTGGTAATCTCTGGGTTTATATGTGTTTTCGAAATTTCATAAAGTTAATATACATTGCTTACAGAGCAATAAAATCAGTGGTCTTATCAAGGTTTTCCATAGTTTTTTAACTTAGCACTCTACGTAACATAAATAAATCATTCATGGTCAAAGGAAAAAATGGGAGTCAATAAAACTACATCAGTAAATGTTTGCTTAAAATGATAATGTTACTAACACTGTCCTTGAAGATGTTAGTCTCTTTCCCAAAAACTGTGGTAAGGCCAGAAATGAATTTTTTTAGATACCTTAAAGAAATGATAATTTCAACTGCATGCAGCCTTCTGTCTCTTGATCCATAGTAGTCTGGTGTATTAAATGACGCTGACAAACACTAGTGTCTAAGACCAAGAATTAAAGGAAACCAAGGTGTCATGATTCTGAATACTTGGCATCATAAGGTTATTTGAAGACTCAACAATCTACACGAAGGAACAATCCCAAGAAGTCTCTGTAATGACACTCTAAATGCCGTTCTTAACACCGGTGCCTTTAAATTTCAGAAAACGATTTATTTAAAAGGTGGTGGAATCCACAGAGCATGGTAATTTTTATTTTCTCTAGAACATTAAAAGGAGTACCATCTTCAGTCTCCATCATTTAAGAAGAAAAATATTCTAATCATAAAAAGGTTCTAATCTCAAATTTAAAAAAAATAAGTCCTTTCAAATAAGTCAGTGTGGCTTCATAAATATAGATCTTGCATTATTCAGATTCCTCTTATTTTACTGCAGACTGGCCAAACTTTGGCAGGCACCAGCACCCTTTGTAAAAGTCACGGTCACCTAGCAAAGAGGTCGCTGTAACCCCCTCCTCCCAAGCAAACTGGTACTATGTATTTTTAGTCAACTATTCAGAAAGAGGTTGAGAAACATTCAGAGGATTTAGGAACGTGAACTGGGTTCAATGTCGTTTAGGTTGGGAAAAGGCAATTCTTTTGGTTGAAGTTAATTTAAATAATAAGACAGTAAAACCAAAATGACTTTAATCACCTCCCTTCCACTGTTTCCTAAAATTCAGTCATTCACGTCTTATCTTCACAATTTTCATCATACTTACAAAGCACCTCTACTATTATCTCCTTAATATTTTCTCTTTGGGTCTTCTCCTCTGGGCAGTATAATATCTATGAAATCAGAGGTTTGATGGGAGTAGTGTACACATTTAACCATCAGCCATCTAAAAGGATTGTACATATTTGCCCCCGCAAACCCTCATGTAATCTAACTTCCTCACTTCATTGAGGCCCAGCATGTTAAGTAACGTATTCACTACTTGCCGTGTTCATGGTCTTACTTGAAGGGGTTGACAGAGCAGTTGATGGATTTGAAAAACAACAGCAGTGCACGCAGGAGATTCTGTTCACGGCTTGTCAACGTAATTATCTACAAGTTACGTACATAATTTCAAAGATGCTGGAAGTTACCTGCCCCTCCTCTTACCAATTTCACATTTTTTTCTTTCTTACAGTTCATAAATGGCTCAACACTCTGCCATGCTCTATCCATTCATCCGACAACTATTTATTGAGTACCTACTTTGTGCCAGATCCTTCCTGAGGTGACAGTAATGAGCCAAACGGACAAAACACCTTGCCCTTATGAAGTTTCCATTCTCTTGGAGCTGTATAGCTTCCTAAATGTATGCCATATTTCTTCTTTGCTATTCTAAATCTCTGGAGTTCAAGATGTGGGTCTAGGGGTGCCTGGATGGCTCAGCCAATTAAGCATCCGACTTCGGCTCAGGTCATGATCTCACGGTTTGTGGGTTTGAGCCCTGCATTGGGCTCTATGCTGACAGCTCAGAGCCTGGAGCCTGCTTCTGATTCTGTGTCTCCCTCTCTCTCTCTGACCCTCCCCTGCTCACACTCTCTCTCTCAGAAATAAAAAAAGCAAACAAAACAAAACATCAAGATGTGCGTCTAATCTACTTTGGTTCCTTTGTAGTATGCAACAGAGCGTTCTGCAGTGTTAAATCAGTGAATGAACAATAAAATGATGCCTAAACCCTTTGGTTTGTTTGTCCTTTGACCCCAAGAACTATATTTAATCACTTTGATTTATTCCACTTCATCCATTTTTTTTTTCGGTTTTCAATTTCCCTGATTTCCATCTACAAAATCCGAAAGGTGAGAAAAGACAAAGATGTAGCTTGTTTTGAAGGAAAACCAGAAAGCAATGCATACAAAAAAATGAAAATTTCATCAGCTATTATTAAAGGACTACATTTCAAAAATATGTCAGTAAAATAAATGGCAGAATGTTTACAATTTCTTAAAAAGTAGCCATTAGAATATATACAGATAAAATATATGTTGTCCTGTGTGAACTTTCCAAAATAGCTCAATATATTATTTGTCTCTTTAAACTTGCTGTATTTAATACTGTTGTGTAAATTCATTGGTTATCAAGCAACTTATTTTCTAGCTTAAGAAAATAGATTGTATTTACCTTAAATTTTCATGATTCCCCGAATAATAGACATTTAATGTTAGTGGTAATCCTTGTTAGGAATGAAAACCAAAGATTTTTTTTTTTTAAAGTGTTGGGGTAACTCAAAGTTAAGATGATAACAGTTGACAATTTTCAGCTTTTGCATGGATGTCATGCTATTGACTTTTTTCCTTCTGTATTTTTCTTCCGTCTTAAAAAAGAAATAAACTATACTGATACATTCAAATGCTTTGTAAAAATGAAAGCTATAAAATAGGTAGATTAAGGCTTTAAGGCTTTAAATATCACACCTCATCTCTTCTTTTTGCGACACTCCTCTGCCCTCACATAAAATTGTTGGGTGAGGTGCTCAAGGTCACCACACATTTGTTAACAACTGTCAAATTCTATACCCACCCCCCCTCCTCCAGCCACTAGATGACACTGCCTTCCCCCAAATAAGAAAGTTAACAGTTCTCAATAAAAATAGAAATATACAAGCTAAACTTTGTTATATTTAGTCCTTTTTTTTTTTTTTTTTTTTAATGGGGGAAAATGTGGTGAGAAGTTCCAGAGGCAAAGAAAAGAGCTTACAAGTCTAGATGAGAACCAAATAGGTCAGTAACGGGCCTTTTCCCTGAGCCTCTGTTGTCTTTTTACTCAATTTTTAGTATCTAGTTAGAACTATTATATTTCTGAATCATGAGGACAAAGCCAGCTTAAGCTCTTCCTTCTTCCTTCCTTCCCTCCCTCCCTCCCTCCCTCCTTCCCTCCCTCCCTTCCTTCCTTCCTCTCCCCCCAAATACAAGAAGAAAATACGGCTGGTAGTTTAAGACTTGGTCAATCTCACTCGGAAATATTTATGTACTTCTCTCTGACTTGGTTACTCCTCCCACTGATGTTAATAGCTGCTTCTTCTGGGCTAACTCTGCCTCTAGTAGAAATGTTGCAGTGTAGCTGAGATGCTGGGGTTGGGACTGTAAACGATGCATTAGGGATGCTCTTGCTGCCCTTCAGCCGGAAGCAAAGGTTATTTCTGAGTCTGCATCTTTGCTTGCCAGCGAGATAACAGAACACTGTCACCTGCAAGCATTGCTGGAACATGGGTGCTTTTGACCATCTAGATTCTCCCTCCCTCCCTCCCTCCCTCCCTCCCTCCCTCCCTTCCTTCCTTCCTTCCTTCTTTTAAAATGCTTTTATTTTTCAGAGAGAGACAGAATGTGAGCAGGGCAGTGGCAGAGAGAGAGGGAGACACAGAACCTGAAGCAGGCTCCAGGCTGTCAGTATAGAGCCCAAAGTGGGGCTTGAACTTGCAGACTGTGAGATCAAGGCCTGAGCCAAAGTTGGATGCCTAACCAACTGGCCACCCAGGCATGCCAGAGGTTGGTTTTTCAAAGCCAGAAAGAAGAGCTTGACTTTGATGAGATAAAGAGCAGCTGGGAGTTCTTCGACAGAGAGTCTCATTATGAAAGCAATTATTTCAAGACAGTATGTTTGACAGCAGTAACTCAGGCACACAGAAGAGCGGGAGACCCTATTCTGGATCCTGGGGTTGCTTTGTTTGGGGGGCACCACGGTGCTAACTCATGGAGTGTTTGGCCAGGGGTGGAACATCCGATCCACACAGGTCTCCGCTGGGTTGTCCCTTGTTCAGCTCACTTGTCTATGTGAGGGCCTCTCTCGGGGATATGGGTGCCCACTCTCCTGCCTCCCATGGGAGACCTCAGAGAGCCCTTCTCCCACACACCCGTTTCCAGTACACGAGACTAGCACACAGTCCCCTGAAAGCTAAGGGGACTCCTCCAGCATTTAGCCTGGAAGGAAACTAAGGTGCCCACTCTCTTCTCAGATAAGCTCCCCAACTTTCCTCTTGCTTTCCTTCTAACTCTCCCTCCTACTCTTGACCTGGGGAATCTTCTCTGGGCAGAGCGAGTGCTTGCTCTACGTCATCATGAATCTGCGATTCTGCTATGATTGGAGCTTGTCTGCCGAGACCCTCAGCTCCTGAAGCCCAAGAGCCCTTTCTCTTCTCCTCTGCAATATCATCTCTTCTCTGAGTCAGGGCTGAATGGGAGGGATGGCGAAGGCACTGTAGAGCTGGCTGGCTGATCTCTGGCTATCTCAAAATACTACCGCTATTGCAGCCATCCAGGCATGCAGCCATATGACGTGACATAAAAATAAAAATGATGGGGAGGCACCAGGGTGGCTCAGTTGGTTGAGCGTCGAGGACTCTTGGTTTCAGCTCAGGTCATGATCTCACGGTTCATGGGATCACACCCTGAATTGAGCTTTGCCCAGACAGCACAAAGTCTGCTTGGGATTCTCAATCTCCCTTTCTCTGTCCTTCCCTTGCTCATGCTGTCTCAAAACTAAAGAAATAAACTTTTTTTTTTTTTTTTAAAGGAAAGTGCCCCTGGTAGAGAGTAAGAGCTCTAGAAGTATTTGTTAAATAAAATAAAAATACTTGGGGCGCTTGGCTGGCTCAGTCAGTAGAGCCTGTGACTCTTGATCTTGGGGCTGCAAGTTTGAGCCTGACATTGGGTGTAGAGATTACTTAAAAAAATAGAAGTTTTAGGAAAGAAAAGAAAAATATCTCCCCAGACGGTTAAGTCTCTCCTACCCCAGTGAATTTTTCACCTTCCATTTCTTGAACCTATTCTGGGGGCCTTCTTTCGGTCCATCTTTAGTCTTGCTTCTAGAAGGAACCACAAGGTCAAGTCTTTTGTAAAACCTTTCTACTGTATTTTGTTCCTCCCTCTACTAAAACATTTGCTGAGAGGGGAGGGGCCACTGGCTCACTTGGAACAACAAGCAACTCTTGATCTTGGGGTCATGACTTTAAGCCCCACGTGGGGTATAGACATTACTTCAATTAAAAAAACCCTTTTATTGTATCATAATTTGCATGAGTTTCCTGTGGCAGCTGTGCCAAATTACCTCGAACTAGATGGCTTAAACCCACAGAAGTGTATGGTGTCGTCGCTCTGGAGGCTAGAATCCCGAAAACCAGCATCACGGGGCTGCAGCCAAGGTGTGAGCGGGACCACACTCCTGGAGGCTCAGAGGGAAGAGCCGCTCTTGGCACCGCCTAGCTTCTGGTGGCCGCCTGCATTCCTGACACCGTGGCCTCATCACCGTCACGTCTACCTGCCCGACAACATTGCTGCTTCCCCTCGTCTGAGTCAAATCTCCTCTGCCTGTCTTGGAAGGACACTTGGGATGGCGTGGAGGGCTCAACCAGGATAATGTGGCGTGATCCTGTCATCTCAGGACCCTCCATTTAACTTAGTATGTTCCGCAAGACGCTTTTACCCTACATAAGGCAACACCTGGCTCTAGGGATTAGGAGCAAACATCTTTGGATGCCATGACTCAGCTACTACAATAATGATGCGAATGTCGGTGTTGTCACCTTTGCGTGACAAGGCTCCATCCCAGTGCAAGCACGTCACGTGTAATCGATAAGTGAAATGCTCGCACAGGTAGAGCGGGGCAGGGTAGAGCCCCACTGTCCGTGCTCCTCGCTATTCCTTCTTTGCGAACGCTTTCTTTCCCTAGGCCAGTGCTATTTCTTTTCCGTGCTAATCTGTGGCTGGAAAGATATTTTACTCATGAATTGGATCCACTTCTGGGTTAGAGAAATTAGGCAAAGGGGGCCTTTGTCCCTGCATCATTTCCTCCGAGCCGAGGTGAGGCAGACCAAAAACCTCCATTCCAATCCTGTTCACAGGAGCTAAGGGGCGGAGGGGAGGGTGAAAGTGGAAGGGGCCCTGGCTGCTGGAAGGCGACTTCCACAGAATCTGAGAATGCAGAGCGCCAGACTGGCGAGGGCGAGCTGCACTAAGAGTGCTGTCAGCACGCTGCCCGCCTGGCTTGTCGCCATGGCCTGGCCGTTTATTTTAAACACAGTTTTCTTCGTAGTCTAAGCTCCTACATTCATGACCATTGCTTAACTGCCCATTTCCCCATCTCGAGTCACTTGAGTTCACAACAGGCATTTTTCTAAAGGGAGGCTGTTTCTTTTCCAGGGTTCCTAAATCACGGTCACCTTCACTCACAAGAATAAGTCTGTTCCAGCCACCGCTCACCTGGGAAGACGGGACAGTAGCCAGGCTGTTGTTTTTCACGGTCATTGGAAATCTCTCCCAATGAAAGAAGACAAACGTCACTTGCAATAAGAGAAGCAAACAAGTAGGTTACTTTGTACAATGAGTCCTTAAAACTGTAAATTGTTTACTGTGTTAGAATTGTTTATTTACTTTCGGGCCAGACTTTTTCATCTTTGTGCTGGTTGGAGCCCCACAGGATCAGAATGTTAAATAAACTGTAGAGCCCAAAAATGTATCCAAGATTTGCCTAGGTAGGCATGTAATCAGAAACTCCAAAGGTTTGAAAAAAATTCTTTCATTTACGTGTAATGCCCATCTTTAATAAAACATAATCATCAGAATTAATTTAACAAATGTGGCTGGCATAGAGCTCCTTTTTTTTTATGTCTTTATTTTATTGTGAGAGAGACAGAGAGTGAATGGGGGAGGGGCAGAGAGACACACACACACACAGAATCTGAAGCAGGCTCCAGGCTCTGAACTGGCTGGCAGCACAGAGCCTGAAGCAGGGCTCAAACCCACAGACTGTGAGATCATGACCTGAGCCAAAGTCGCACGCTTAACCAAATGAGCCACCCGGGCGCACCTAAAGCTCCTTTAACATAGTGGTCTGGAAACTGCCAGAGCTTTTATTGATCAGAGTCGACTCCTGTAGCCTGGCCAACAAGACCGACTTACCGCCGAAAATCATCTCAAACAACACTCTCCCTCTGGCTCTGTTCCACTGTCTTTCCTAGGGATCATACTTCCTCCTACCAATGGAACTTTGCATATGCTCTTCCCTCTGCTTAGAATGCTTGTCCCTCTTTCTCTCCCCTTGATTAAGTTCTATTCATCCTTTGGACTGTAGCTCAAGCATTACTCTCTGAAGAGCTTTACCAGATTAGCTCAAATCCCCCAAGCACTGGCTTAGCATTTAAGACTCCTGACTGTACTTGTGTGGTTATCTGATTAACATCTTCTCCTTCCGTACAGAGCTCTGTGAGGGCAGAGCGTCAGTCAGTTTCTGTTATCATTATGTCACCAGCTCTTCTCAGCGTTGCTGGAACACAGTAAGCATGTAATAAATAGTTAAATGTCAAATGATTATGTTGTGGAATCTCATGCTTGCTCTGCACTGGGTTCTTGCCTTCACAGGGCCTCATCCTCATCATTAGTGAGAAAATGCCTCTCCCATTCCCCAAATCCTAGGGTATTTATGGTTCCTGTCTTGAGCCTGTAAGATTGACCAGGCTAGAGCTAGAAAGTCGACACACTGTTATCTGCCTGCCAATATGCCATATCCCAAGCAACAAACTAGAAATACCCTCTGTACCTTTGCCCCCTCCTTAATACTACTGCCTTGATTCTGGCTTCTATCGCCTTTCATTTAAAATACTGTAAATTCGGGGTGCCTGGGTAGCTCAGTTGGTTAAGTGTCCGACTTCCGGTTTCAGCTCAGGTCATGATCTCACAGTCTGTGAGCTTGAGCCCTGCATGGGGCTTTGCGCTAATAGTGCACAGCCTGCTTTGGATTCTCTCTCTCCCTCTCTCTCTGCCTCTTCTGCACGTGTTCTCTCTCTCAGAATAAACTTAAAAAACAAAACTGTTTACAATACTATCAATGCTCCCTTAAGTGGTGGATCTGTGTTCACTCTTCTCTCATAGTCTGTCTGCAAAGCTGCCAGTAGAACTCAGTCTAAACGCTGGACTGACCTTGACCCCCCTTTGCTTAAACATCTCTCAGTGTTTCCCACGGCGTGTCTTCGACAAAGCTCATCTTTCGAGAAGACATCCTTCCCCTGATCCTGTCTCCCCTCCTGCCTTCTTGAGAACTCGTGTTCCACCCGGAATCATGCACAGGGTCCCAACACGCGCTCTGCCTTTCAAGTCCCTGTGTCCCTGTGTTCTCTCTGCCTAGAAAACGTCTCCACTCCTTTGCTAGTGGAGTTTCACTTATCATTTTAGGCTCAAGTGTTCCTTGCATGTGGCCCAGGCCCTGCCTCAGCGCCCCTTTCTCAGGCTGGTTCTGTCACTCACTGCCTATGTCCTCACAGGGTCCTGGGCCCAAGCTGCCACAGCAAACACTTCTCAGTGAGCTACATTTTTACGCAGAGGGACATGTGCGTTAAGAGCATGGGCCGCACATTCAGAATGACAGGAGTCTGAAACCAAATTCTGCCACTTATTGTGTGGCCTTGGAAATGATTCGTAGTTTCCTAATTCTGGAAAAGGGGGACTTACTGCTGAACTCATTGGGTTGTTGTAATTACAGAATAAATGAGGTGATATGTTTAATGCTCTTAGCACAACTGGCCCATTACACTAACTAATGCTAATTGTCACTGGGTTGTGAGTGTGTCAAACGGTGTTTTCTGCTAAATTCTCCCCACTTTCAAGAGTTTTTACTGCATGCACATCAATTTCAGTCCTTACTCAATCCTTTGCAGAACAGAGTATAACCTCCTTTGTCACAGGAGTAATACCAATAGTATGCACGTGTATAGGACTTACGTACCAAGTACTGTACAAACGACCTATGCGTGTTTCAAATCTTCTCTGTGATTCGTAACCAAACTGACTCTTCTAAGATGACAGTGAGTGGTTGAAGCGATTAAAGCCACTGCAAATTCTAGCCTGGTGTTGTGGCCACAGCATGGCTGGTGGAGCCCCAAGAAAGTCTAAGTTCCTTGAAGGCAAGGTCATCTCTGAAAAGAGAAAAGTCTCAATGCAGAGACTCCGTGAGCCCAGAGTCCTGTTCCTGTAATTAACTTCCACCAGAGGGGCAAACGTTCACACTGAACACTCGAGACTCCCCGGAAGGTTCGGAACCTTACGAGGTTGAAACGCCTCTTAACCTTGCGCGAGCACCCCTTAACCACCAGCATATCACACTCTTCCTCGGTGGTTTCCATCGGTGTTCCCGGATGCCTCCTTGCAGGGTCTGCGACAAGGACAGACTACGTAAGGTTGAGAAGACACCTGTGTCCCCTCCTTTATGCCAAGGGCGGGTCACCGTGGGGGCCAGGCTTGACCGTCCGAGGAAGCCTCGGGAACTTGCGGCCCGCGGCGACCCCACCCACCCACGGGAGAGGGGACGGCGCCCGTTCTGCCCGGCGAGACGCACACGCCTGGCGCCCCGCTCCCAGGAGCCGCCCGGGCGGCTGCACGGGTCGCCACCACAGCGGAAGCGTCCCGAGCGCGTGCCGGGCGGCCGCCGAGGGTCCCGCGAGCGGGGCGGGGCCGCCGGGCCGGTCCCCTCCTCCCCCGCCGGGGGCGCGCGACGGCCGGGCGGGGCCGGCGTCCCTTCCGGGGAGCGGTGGCCGCCGCCGCCGCGTCTCCGGCGGCTTCCCTCCCCGCCCCCCGCAGCTCAGGGTGACGCTTCTCCAATAACAGCTCGCGGGGAGCCGCCGCTCCGGGCGCCCCTCCGCGCCGGCCCCGCCAGCCCCGCCCCGCTGCCAGCATGAGGGCCGCGGGCGACGGCGGCCTGGAGCGCTTCCGCAGCCCCGGCAAGGGCCGGGGGCTGCGGGCCCTGCAGCCCTTCCACGTGGGGGACTTGCTCTTCTCCTGCCCGGCCTACGCTTACGTGCTCACGGTCAACGAGCGGGGCAACCACTGCGAGTACTGCTTCGCCAGGTAGGGCGGCGGCGCGGGCGGGCGGCGGGCGGTGGGGGCGCCGCGGCGGCGGCTCGGACCGCGGCGGGAGGAAGTGCGCGCGGCGCGCCGGGTCCTAGCGCCGGCGGCTGGGGCGGCGGCCGCGCTTTCCTTCCGCGCCGGCCCTGCCACGTGCGCTCGGACGGAGCCGCCGCGCCCCCGCCGCGCGCCCGGCACGTTCCCGTTTTCCGAGTCGCGCGCCCGGGAGTGCAGGGTCCTGGCCCCAGACATGGGCTCGGAGCCAGGCGCGTCCCAAGCACGGGAACGCGCCGCAGGCTTGGTGCACTGCCGGCCCGGCCCCGGGTTCGAGCAGCCAGTCTGTCCCCTTTAACTTGTGCTTCCTGCGGCGTGTTCTGTGCCCCGCAGCCCAGCCCTGCCGCACGCTTGCCGTTTCCTCCCTGGAACTTAATGACACTTAACGTTTCATGTAAAGTACGCGGCCCCTCCTCTTCCTTCTCACTCAACACCTGTGTTTGGAGAGAAGCCAGAGGGGGTGCTGACTACGCACCCGAGATAATGAAGGGCTGCACTGATGGGACGTGCCTGACCTTGGTTTGGGATTTTGAAAACATGGTCTCTGAAAGGATTAGGCAAAATGTGTGGTTGGAAATGGTATTTAATTGTAGCCCGTCATGTATACACATATACCCGTATATGTACACATACGTATATATTCATACACAGCGCACATAATTCTGTCTCAAGACCTATGACAGTTTCAGACTCCATAGGCACATGAGAAATCACCAGTCCAACACACTCTCCCTTTTACAGGCGAGTAAAGTAATGCCCAGAGAGGAAGTGTGGTTGTGTACATATAGTCACACAGGTAGTTAAGGGAATGAAATTTGCTCTCTTCATCTCTGCCCATTTTGCTACTAGTTAGGTGCTCAGTAAAATTCCAGAGACAGGAAGCATGGCGTTGAAGTAAGTTTCCACCCAACCTTCCACTACTCTCTGAAAAATGGACCCTGCTTTACTTTCTTTGAACCTCAGTTTCTTCATCTTTGAAATGGAGGTTCTTGAGTTAGATTACGCTGACCTGGGGTCCTGCAGGTACCTTTTGAGGACAGGTCTCAAGTCCAACATACACAGGAGTCCCCAGTCTCCCAGACTTGTGTGCCTTATTCTATGATAAGACATAGCAAAAGAAGGGACAAAGGCTAAATATTATAGTAATCTTGCCCAGACTCCCTGCCAGAACTGTCTTCCGCTTGGGGGGACCTGGAAAGGCACTAGACGCAGAATCATGCCGTGGGCAGCTTAAGGGCTGTATGTGATGTGGCTCTTTGAATTGGTGAGTCAAGAGCTAAAGGGTCATGGCACCACTTTGCAACGTTTGAGTGAAGTGAGCATTGGGTTTTCCCAAAGTTAAAAAGGCTGCTGTGACTGGTCCCTTGATCTTCTGAGCCTCGCTGTGGCTCGGAGTCTGAAGCAGTGTGGGTGTCTGGAGTGGCGGGAGCAGAGCAGGGTCACCCAGCACAGAAGGTGCCGCCTCCATCAGGGATCCTGGTGATTCCTGGAGTCAGTCCTGGGAGAGAAGATCACAGTGCCAGGCACATAGTAGGGACACAGGTGGTAGTTACTGGTGCACTCCTCCAATGAATTAGAGATCAAATCCCTCTGGGGTCAGTGAGGGAGAAGCAGAGCTGAGAGATGCTTTTGAGCCGCGAGCATCCTAACTGTATCTACTGTACACACCCCCAACCGTAGAACATTACCCCGCCATGTGCGACACAGCATGTGCTTTGTTTTTCCTTTTTCTGAATAGCATTTGTGAGTGTCATTGACTGTTGCCTTAGACCCCTCACCGGGACTGCCACGTGCATCTGCGCCCACTCCCGCCACTCCTCTCTGTTTGGCTTAGGTGAACTTCTGTTAATACCGACAGTTCATTTCTTCTCTCTCCCCAAGGAGTCATTTGAAATCAACTAAAGTAACATACAAGAAATGATGATACCATGATCCCTGTGAAATTGGAATTCTCTGCGTACACCACTCTGTGATTTCTGTTCAGTCTGAGTAGGTTAGAATTCATGTTAGGGCATTCTCACTAATTCAGCACCATTTCCCCTGTCAACTATTTGATTATGTGGAGGAATGAGTCTGTCTGTCCGGCTGGAGTAGAGGGAACACCTGTGTGTTTCTGCGGTACCTCCAGAGAGAAGGAGCAGAACTCTCAAATATTCAAGCAGACAGGGCAGAATCTTCTACTTCTGCACCCCACGCCCCATCCCCTCGGGAAAAGAAACACAGCTACTCCTCAATCTTCTTTGGGCTAGAAGTTCGGCATAAACAATATTGCTTGAGATGAACGAGCCACTGGAGGCTCTCCGTGTCATGTTAATTGTGTCTGGGTTTCACTTACGTTGAAGGAAAATAAGTGATTTCTGCAGGAATAAGTTCTATAAATTGAAAAATAAAGGCAAGTTCCTCAGGCCACAATCAAATGGTATTCTTCTTACTGTTGGCCCCGTTCAGACAAAAGTTTGTTCCTGGGAATTTTAAATTTGTATCACATTTTCTCAGTTTGGGGGGTGATACTTGGGACTCCTGATACAGATGTCTGCACAGGCTGCCATGGTGCGTCAGGGAAGGGTGACCTCCCTCTCCCTCTTACTGTGCTGAGCTCAGTTAGGGTGTTCTGTGGCGCCCCACAATTGGGGTCCCAAGATTACAGCTTTTCACACTCAGCTCTTTCGTGTATCTTGCCTCTCCTGCTAGAAGGCAGCTCCTAAAAATATAAATGTTTCCCATTTGGGAGCTGTCCCTATCACACCTCTTAGATACATTTTATGTACACACACACACACACACACACCATGGATTTTTGGCCATCGGCCACTGTTTTATGGCAGATATTGTACTTAAGGACATATTTTTAACACTTTATATTATTTGTCTCAAAAAGGAAAAATAAATCTGCCCGAACCCAGGTTCCTTCTGAATATTCATTCCATGTGCAGTTCCTCAGTTGGGAAGACGTCCCCCTCTTGATCTTTGATTTTCTTGGCTCTTGGGTCATTGGAGGGCGAGAATGTTGCCTTTTTTGTCAGTTCATTCTGAGTACGGGGGAAACGTCGGGAGGCCTGCCTAGCTTCCTTGCGGTAAAGCTGTTAGAACCCCATGTCAGGGAATGTGTGTCATGCCTGGCTTGCTCCGAGCTGTTTTAAAAATTAAAATGCGGGGCGCCTGGGTGGCTTAGTCGGTTAAGCGTCTGACTTTCGCTTAGGTCATGATCTCGCGGTTTGTGGGTTCGAGCCCCGCGTCGGGCTCTGTGCTGACTGCCATCTCAGAGCCTGGAGCCTGTTTCAGTCTGACTCCCTCTCTCTCTGACCCTCCCCTGCTCACGCTGTCTCTCTCTCTCTCCTAGAAATAAATAAAAAATATTTAAAAAAAAATAAAAATTAAAATGCTTGCATGGGCAGCACAGTAGGACCGAGGGTCCTGTTGCGGCGGATGTGAAGACGGCCATGTCTCACGGGTTTGCTCTGTAGCGCCGTTGGTCCTGCCTAGCCCCTGGTTTTCCAGGACTGTCAAAGTAATATCGACTTGATTTTAATCTGTATTAAGAGCCATAAACTCTTTTTTTTTTTTAATTTTTTTAATGTTTTATTTATTTCTAGGAGAGAGAGAGACAGCGTGAGCAGGGGAGGGTCAGAGAGAGAGGGAGTCACAGACTGAAACAGGCTCCAGGCTCCGAGCTGGCAGCCAGCCCAGAGTCTGACGCGGGGCTCGAACCCACGAACCGCGAGATCATGACCTAAGGGAAAGTCGGACGCTTAACCGACTAAGCCACCCAGGTGCCCCAAGAGCCATAAACTCTTGATGCTGTCATCTTAAGAAGCCATCAGGTTCTCAGAACCCTGGCTGGGGCTGACCCCCTCAAGCTGTGCATCAGAAGGGGGAGTCACCCCCAGGGCTGCTGTGATCCTGTTGATTCTGAGAACATTCTCTGAGATATATATTGTTAAGTATTTATTTTTGAGAGTGAGAGAGAGAGACCGAGCATGAGCAGGGGAGGGGCAGAGAGACAGGGAGATACAGAATCCAAAGCAGGCTCT